AGGTCAGACTCGTAGCCTCTATTCACAAATAGCGTTCGTATTTCCCTCACTGTATTTCCGTGAGAAAGACCGTACGGCACGAAAACGCTAAAATCTTTACAACTGCACAGATTCAGCTCGCTTGCGGCTACTACTACTACTACTATTTGCAGGGCGTGCAGTTTTATACCGCATGGTCCCTGCAATAGCCTAAGCAATGCACATAAAAATGCATTTTTACTAAATATTTAGAGCGGTTCCGTGCATATTCATATGGCCGAATACACGCGGACAACCGCTCCTGCGGAGCTTTATGTTTCTATATATAGGGAAGTGAACAGCATATCTTAGTGGGGCAAATGTATAAGGCTTTACAGCTGAGTGAGGCAGAAATAAGGCCCAGTATTGTTAATAACTCAGGTACTTTATTACATTTTTAAGATTTACCTCCTGAGTTTAGTGTCAGAGTGAGATTCTTTACCAGACAATGCAGGGCAACCCTTCATAGTAAAATAGGAAGATGATGACCCAGGACCATGCTTCAGGTGATAGCCTGCAAATGTCTGCTTCCTCTGTTATGGATAGAACCTTACTATGATTCAGGCTTAACACTACTCCCACCTAGTGCCTTTCTAGCTTTTAGAAATCTGACTTGGCACCCAAGGGTCTCATTTAGGGAAGTAGCCAACAGAAGGTCACCAACTCAGGTCAACCCTCGTGTCAAGTTCCCCTCAACTCCACTGCTCTTTTTTAGAACTCGACAATCTCTCTCTGCTCTTGACTTCTGTCAACCCCCTTCTCTGAAGTTGCCTCTGCATTACCTTTAAAAAAGGTCCTCTATGTTGTGATAGTAGCAAATGAGTTCCACATGATTGAATATCTCAAAACAATATAAAATGTTTATCCAAAAGCCTCTTCTCAACGGGCAATTATCGTATTCTGCTAACTATGCAGTACCACATAAACTTTTATCACAGCTTGAAATAACATCATGTGCACTCCCTCTTAGGCCTCTAACTTTACATGAAACAAGTACAACAAAATGAAATTTTCAAAGCCCCCAGGATGGGGGACACTGAACAGCTTCCTCTGATTGGTGGTCTCCCCAGAGAGGTGCAGAATAGACCCACAGATAACCACAATGCACATGCTGGGCTCCCAATCTTCAAGCAGAACCCCACAAAACGGCATGCATGCACTCATTAAAGAAAACCCACCAATAGAGACAGAGAATGGGAAGCACATTGAAGTCTTTAAGGGAAAGAAATATCACTACTTAAAGGAGAACTATGGGGCAATCTTTTTTGGCCATAGTTCTCTTCAGGGTCATGGGAGGACATATACTATCCTCCTCCAGTGACCCAAAACTCAGCATATAGTGGGCTATTGCCTGCTATATGCTGAGAGTGCAGAGCCATCCCCCGCATTCGGCAAAGATCCCGACAATACTGACAGTCACTGCTCTCTGCAAGGAGAGGATCAGGAAGTCAGCTATCGGTGGTATGTGTTCGCTGACTTCCCAATCAATAGAGCCGACCTGTGACAGCTTCAGTGTCACAGGTCGGCTTGAATTATGGGGATGAGTGTTTTTCACTCACCCCATAATTCTCCTTTAAAGACTCCCTGTTTAATTAAATATACATCCACAGATACATCAAAGCATTTGCAGTTCTTTATAGCCACTTTTGTGATTAACACACCCCTGCCACACTGCACAGCCAGGAGGGTCAATCTTCCATTTCCTGGCTCAGCTTCCCTGGACCACATCTCCGCTAATTCGACAGAGGAGATGATAATCAATCATTGTTCAGTGCGTAAAGTGAAACCTGTTCTTTAATTTAGGTGCATTTAAAAATACATTCATGATTTTTAATAAATACAAAACTGTGTTGAGCAGTGCTTAACAAAGATTTGCCTCATTAAATCACAGCTTCTATTTGCTGTCTTCCTCTTTCTGAAAGCATCAGCACATTTCAAGTGAGGAACATTTGATACCATACATTTTATAAATATAATACATGTGTATTTGGGTATGTTCTTTTTAATATAGAGACAAAAATACAATTCATAACACAAATAAAAACCTGATTGCTGACACAGAACAAACTGTCCTAGCAGCCCTGATACTGATTGAATAGCATGCTGTTAGATAGCCATCTATTGGTCACAAAGCCAATGGCAGATATTTTTTATCCTCAGTATGTGCTGAATTCACAAAGAAGAGGGGCAAGAGCAAAACCAAAAAGTATCTAACATTCATCAGATTTATGAAACACAAAGTAACAGTCACATCATTTCCCTAAACCATAAAATCAATTAAAAACAATATAATCAAAATGAATATTAAAACACCTCCTATAATAAAATAAACTTCAACAGTAAATAGGATCATCCCACAATGGCATTAACAGATCTACCATCATATCATCCTGTGGCTGTGCCTAGCCCAACTGTAAATGTTTAAGAGGTGTATTTCGAAGCATCTAAAATCATCTAATAAGCGTTTTCTTTGTTTTTTCAGTACTTTGGTTTGTTGTCTTTTATGTTTTATAATGATCTGAGAAATAAAGAACTAAGAAGCAATAAGAAAGAAGGCTGTGCGGAAACTTTTTGGGATATAAGTGGAGCACCACAGTCCCAGAATGCTGCTTGAGGCGTGGTCGAGACATAATGGGGGGGATTTATCAAAACTGTAGCAGAATCATAATCAGTTTCTGTCTTCAATTTGTACAGTTAAGCTTTGAAAATGAAAGATAGAAGCTAATTAGTTGTCATGGAAAAGAGAGAGAGAGAGAGAGAGAGAGAGAGAGAGAGAGAGAGAGAGAGAGAGAGAGAATTTGAACAAAAATGCTACATGTCTTGTTCTGCACTGTAACAGTAAAAAATGTGAAAACTTATAACACAAGGTCCTTCATTAACTTGATGTCACTTTTTTTCTAGTTCATCCCTTTTCAGCTGTGTGTTTTATCCTTAATAAATCAATGTATATACTTTTGGAAGACCATTTTCAGGAGCAGTTACTGTGTTTTGGCGCCTGTGATTTTCACACATCTATACTGTATATTACATCCTGAGCTTTATGGGACTCAACGACATCTGCGAAAGCAACCAATTGCTTTATTCCACTGTGATCATATGAACTACAGATATGTGGAACATTTTGCATTTGTCTCTCTCTGTAAGAAGTATACCATCAGAGAGACATTACAAATAATTGATATGGATTCTTGTCATATGGATTATAACATACGAATTGGAAGCATGCCCAGTGGAAAATATGGATGGATATGTTTCAAAATGCAATATTAAATTGAATTAATCGGCTCAATACGTTGTAGAAGTGGATATTAAATAATTCATGATTATAATGGATACTCTGTATTTATTAATATACATAAGAATGGACTTGAGAAATACGCTCATTATGAAATATTGATATAATTGCATTATCACAATATATTATGTGGTTGGGGTTTCAGCACAGTATACGGTATGTCTTTTATATTCATATATGTAAAGTAATTTGCTTTCAGATGTTTTTTTAGAAAAGTTTTGATGTTTTAATTGTGGTGAAGATGCATACTGAATATACTGTACAGTGTATTGCTTCTCACCTGAAGAAGAGAGGTTCACTCTCGAAAGCTTGTCTAAAATCCACTATGCACTCCTTTATGCCATAGGGTTGCCATATAGTCACACGTTTGTGGCCTCTTCATTGTCTGCACCTTCTAGAAAAGTATTACAATACCCTAAGATTATTTATAGCCTTAAAGTAAATGAATAGCTGTCCACAGGGGCATAAAGTAGTTGTAATAATAATAATTATTATTATTATTATAATAACTGCATGGCATCCCCTCTCAAGACTACCAAACAAATGTTTTTTTGGCTTTGTGATGTGCTGTTCTAAGAAGGCAATTATGTGACCACTAGACGAATGCAATCTGCAGAATAACATTTTCAATGTTCCCCATGCCATAAGAGCCATTGTCTATGTTCCAGCTGTGAACTGCGAGTGTGCGTCTGTGGGTGCTCCTATATATGAGACTGCGCTGCCACTGACAGCCACAGGTCTCAAACTAACAACTGTGAACCAAACAGTGCGGTTTCTGATCATGTGATCACTATGACAGCCAATTAAAGGGCTACATGCAGGCTGTTTACAAATACACTTTTCCAGCTTACAGAGGGCACTGTGCCAGTCTCTCTGTGCACTGGCTGTGCTCAGATAAAGAAGACAGTGTTTGATATAACTACAGAATTTAAAAATGCAATCCAGTTAAAAAGGTTAACTATGTGTAAAGCAATAAAAAATAAATTTGGCAGTTTATAATGTTAAAAAACCTAATAGGGGTAATTATTAAAACAATGTACCAAATAAAAGTCTTTCATATCCTCAATAAAATGATACTGACACTGATAGATTTGGAATGGACATTTAGGCTTCAATGACCTCTGGTCATTATAAGGGTAAAGATGTGCTCTTCTAAAGAGATGTGCTCTTCTAACCCACTGTAATTTAACCCGGTTACCCTGGCACATTGCCACCAACAGGCTCTGCCACCCATAGGCTCTGCACCATAAAAGCCATAGTTTCTATATCTTGATCAGATAATAACTGTACTGACAAGCCTGATACAACTAAATGTTAGTTGACATACATTTTCTTTATTATTCTATGCCACATCTGTGCCACAAAGCAGCGTTTCTGGATGCACAGTTGAAATAATTATTTGCATGGCTCCACCAACTACCATCTGCTGTGTGAAGGCAATCCTCTATGTGGTGCTTATATAAGTAAGAAACCTGATAAAACAATGAAAGATGTTGAAGGCCAGCCATTGAAATTCTCTCTCCCTTGGGAAAAACCTCCATGGCCTTCATACATTCTGGGCCTGCTGGCCTTTCATTTACCTTGAGTTGAATTAAGGACACAGATTACGTGTATGAAAACAATACACGGCATGTTGCATTCACAATAAACATATAGAGACCTTTTCTCTTCCATGAAGTGAACTTACCTAAATCAATGGGAGTCTTTCCTTTGAATAATAACATCTGAAGCTCAGGATCTGTAAGGGAAGGAAATATGAAATAAATGTTCCATGTACGTTTTATTAATTACTGTGTGAAATGCAGATAAGAGCACCTTTGTATTGTACTGTTAACCTGCAAATGTAGACTTGGCACATATTTATTTTGCTGCAAAAAATAAAGTTGACCTGTATGAGTATATTGGCTCATCTACATGAGCCAAATGACACTTCGTTCACGCCTATGCACTACAGTGTGTTGTAATATGTGTGCATTTTTGTGCAGCATGCCATACCAAACTGCAGCATTATGGAGTGAACAGGGTAAGTAGAAAACAATAGTCTTTTAGGTGCCTTAGCATAAGTGTGGATCAACACAGCTCAATACAGATGGTGTAAAAAAGCCCCAATACTGCAATAGTTACCACTCGGCCTGAGGGTACAGTAATGCGCTGTGTGCACCAAACTCAGCAACCAACCATGAAGCATAATTTCCTGGTTTTTCTTCATCAAATTTCATTCTGATTGCTTGGCATCAGTTTCTTCACTTCTCAATTGCCACTGTACTTTTTTCTCTGTACTGTATAAGGCTGTTTATTTCCACGTTTACACCGATAACAAAAAAAGTTTTTGAAGATTTGTAGCACAGTAAAACCCTTCTCTAAATTTTTGTAACAACTCAATTCATCAAACACCATCACAACAAAATAGAAAATTTAATTTCTTTTATGTCTTACTACATGTTTCATTCTCAGTACAAACAACTTCCCTGTATTTACTGTACACACTATAGTAAGCTGAAGTGACTGAGAGGCTGACTCTGAGATTCATTCACTAGATTACAAAAGTCATCAAGGATCATTAAGAACCATTCATTCCTCTAGATGAGATATTGCATATAAATCCCTCCTTGGGTGCACAGGCCTGGCACTGCCTCTGTACAGAACTGCGTGTCAGCTCCTCTCTAATGAAGGTTGGTCAGAGACATTCCAGGCTGCACTCAGGCACTCGCTGAGAATGGCATGCAGAGGAATGCCATAGAATAACACTAATAAGCTGGAGATGAACCAAGCCTTACATGCCTAACATTTCAAAGGCAAAAGCCAAACAAACAATCTTGTAGAGTATTAGAAACATGAAAGAGACTAGTATGTTTCTGTACCGCTCTGTAATTTGACATGGTACAGTTGGGTTCCCTAGCAGGTTTCAGTTCCAGCTTTTGACATATGTATGTAAACAGTTACAAAAGGCTTATTTCTACACACATGTATTGAGGGTGAGGCTTTTGTCTATAAGTTCTCACTTTACCCTCTAGCTCCCCCACTGTTTTGACCTCTGGCATTCACATCATGAGACAGGACTCCAGCTCCTTGCCTCTATGACAGTACTCATGGCCTCTTCGTATTCTGACATATGGGTGAAAGGTCACCTCCTCTATCCTGTACTAATATTCAGGGCACTTCCCATCATCTGGGGAGCATATTTGTTAACTTTGGGGAAAGATCCTCTAGGAGTCAAAATGCAATCCACTTCAGATTCTTAGCAATTTGCCTGCTTCCTATTAATTTGTCTACCTCCTTCTGCCAAGGTAGCTAAAGAAGGACAGGTCTACATGCCTTGTTCATATTGTTCTCTTTTCACAAGCACTAGACTAATACTTTTTGTCCCTGTCTTGAGTTTCCTTTCCAATCCCAGTTCACAAGTTAGAAGTAGGGCTTTATTTACTAAAGGCAAATAAACTGCTTACTTTCCAAAGGAATTTGCCCTTAACGGGGAAAGTTTCCCTTAGCTTGTGGGGGAAAATATACTTTGCAAAGAATATCCAATTACATGCAAGGAAAATGAAAAAAAAATCTTGCTTGCACATGATTGGGTGATGGAAATTCAGCAACGCTTCAACTCATTCACTAAGCTAAGGGGAATCATACCTTGCAAAGTACAAATTCCCTTAAAAAGTGATCAGCCTATTTGCCTTTAGTAAATCAACCTCTTAGTGTCACACTAAGGGCTTGTGTTGATGGCATTTGTTTGTTTGAAATGGGTTTCGCATTCCTATACAGGTCTACGAGAATGTAAAATCCACTTAAAGCAGGTCAAATGCACACCAGATGAAGGCTTCGATATCAAATGTCCACTTGGCACTAGGCAATAGATCTTAAATATGCATGGGGAGTAACAAGTCATGATGCTGCCCAGGCAACAACTAAGCTCAGGTAGGGCACATGCTTAGAGAACAGACAAAGACTTCTGGGGGTAGACCTTACACAGGCCATCTTTATTTCCTTTCCATACAGTACATGGGAACAACTGAATTGCCTCCTATTTGTTTTTCTACATTAACAATTTCCTTTCACTTCTACCGACCATGACAAGGCTCAGGATGTCTCTAGAACAATCTAGAATCATCCTATTCTTGAATAGCCAAAATAACGTTTTCCACATAACATGCAAACTGATATTGTATTTCCACCTTTGCAGCCACATTTGAGAAACCCTCACTATCGGGTCTATTCACTAAGCTGCCGAGGGCAGCCGAGTGAACAACCGACCCCAAGAGAAGTGAGCCGAACACTGTTCGGCTATTCACTTCAGGCTGGTACGGCTGATTTCAGCCGTACATCGGCTGAAATCAGCCGTACATCGGCTTGCTTCACATGGCTTCGGGTCGGCCGAACATGCTCAGCATGTTCAGCCGACCCGAAGTGTAGAAGGAGTTCGACTCAGCCGATCCAACATCTGGATTGGCTGAGCCGAACCTCCGGCAGGCTACTCACTGCTGTCCGGCCTATTCTTATAGATGCCGAACAGCAGTGAGCAGTGAACAGCTCGGCTGTTCTGCTCGGTCCCTCAGAGGGACCGAGCAGAACAGAAAAATAGTTTTAAAAGTTTTAAAAATGTAAATAGAAAACGATTGTGCGGAGCTAGCAGTGACAGCTTGGCGGCTCTGCTGCCGTCAAAAAAAAACCTCTGATGGACCTGATGGAGAACTGCAGCAGAGGGCGGGTACAATGCTAGTTTACTATTGGCTATTGTAAATTGAAATAGCCAATAGGAATGTAGCAATGCATTCCAATGGGAATTTTTTTCTATTCTGACATCGCTCCATGTCAGAATAAAGAAAAAAAAAGAAACAGCAAGCAGTGTGGAGGAGAGAGGGGAGGGGGGGTTGGGGCAAATAACAAACTGCTGGATGGATGTGCAAGTGTTACTAGACCTATGTGATATGACATGAATAAACTCTGATAGGATGTGCCTTGAGCTCCTGCGTCTGCACAGGTCCACATGAATGCACAGCAGCTCCTACAAGTTGCTGTCACTCAATGGGAGAGGAGGATCCCAACAATGTTGTCGGGATCGGTTCTCAGCACAGAGCTTAGCCACGTTCACAGTATATTACATTGAATTTAAGCTTATGGTGCATTTTTTTTACAGGAGTACATTACAAAATGTACTCCTGTATCATTAGGCAACATTACATAGAATACCTCCATTTGGTACTTTTTAGAAAAGAGCAAATAAAAAGGTAAAAAACTATTTTTTATTCAATTAATTTAATCAGTTATGTTATGTGAATGGGAACATACAACAAATATAAAGTAGGTGTTATCCCAATATGGCTGCAAAAGTGGCATTATTGTTGTATGTCACCTTTCTAGACACATCCTGACCTATTCAATCATGTTCCAAATGCTTTTTTTTTTCTTGTGTCATCGTCAATGGGGGCACACAGTTAATGCATGGCATTTACAGTGCATTAGACAGGCATTGGAGGGGCAGGTTCTACAACGACCTTGTAAAGATCAAACTGTATTTATAAGTAACTGCTACTGGTCGATTGCATTAAACTGAAAAGCATTAAAGTTGCATAACCAATGCATGTTAAATGCTTTACAAATGCATCTTAATTAGTATCCAATTATTCCTCTTAAAATGTTTTTGTTTTGGGTAGAGTAGAGAAAGGTTAGAATTCCTCTCAGATTTTACTCTTTTCAGGGGCTCCGTTAGAAAGATTTATCCTCGTTTTCTGTTCTAGGGACAACCTTTTTAACAGAAAGTGAGGAAAAATCTGCAACAAGAAAACAGACAACCATAAAAAGCTGACAGGGATTCTAGAATTCCTCTATTTAACATCCAGACTTCCTTTCTGGTGTAAATGTTGTCCCCGGTATAGTGAGTCATAGGAGATCTTTCCAGTGGAGCCCAGGGCTGTGGTATACCTGACAGGGGTTCTAACCTTTCCCCACTCTATACAAACCTAAAAAAAAATGGCTATAGGTACATTTTAATGTTCCAATGTCATCCCTGTAGCTGTATTATTGCTAGCTTCCTATTACAAAGAGTAACTATTCCTTTGAAAAAGTTAACTCTAACTGGCCCCCTCCGCATGTTTACCATACCCCCTTGTACTTACAACAGATCAGCATAACAGCTGGTGCCTATGTTGGCCAGGGGGCACTATGGTCTGCTTAGCAAGTGGACTGCATTTCTTTTGGGCCTATAGAGAATTTGCTGCACAAGCACAGGCTCACCAGCTGAAAAATGGACTGGCACATAGCCACTGGCCACAGCTGCTGGACTGGCTCTACCACTGATCTAAGGTAAGCTTGAGAGGGTATAGTTAGGAGGGTGAGAGGGGACAGTTAGGGCACATGTGCAGGCACCTAGACCTGCATGGATGTCCAGGTTCGGGATGGCGTGTAGCCCGTCCAGCCACGTCCTGCCATAAGGAAGTACAGGATACTGCACACAATTACACGCAGCACCTGTCCTTCCTGGGAGCAGGTCTCTGCATGGGCATCCATGCGAACAGATGTGCACGCCAGTGTGAATGAGGCCTTAGTGTTATTTTGTTTAGAGGTATAGATACCCTTCAAAATCCATTTACACACACTATATAAAGGGTGTAAAATAAGGGTTCCTTGTCTTCACGGCTTACCCATACTTCGTAATGTCCCTCATTTGTAAGCAAATCCCTCTGTCCCTTTTTCCATCTTAATTGTCCCTCTTTTTGGTCCGATGTTCAGATATCTATGAAAATT